GGGCAGATTTCTGATTGGTTACACGGGCTGTACCTGTGGAAATGAACATTTGAATGCAGAGTTTATTCAAAATTTGTCTGTCATCTGGCTTGCGTTTAATTCTTTCACAGAATATTCATGCAGACTCATTCAAAATAACAGTGTTTGGTTGCCTTCCTCAAAGTGAAACAGAACTATCAATTACTTTGTTTGTAATTATTAACATGTCCATTTTTTCCTACCTGATTTGACTGGGGTAATTGTAAATGCCAACAGTTGTGAATGGCAGAAAAACCAACAGTGAGAGATTCTCAAGTAATCATTAATATAAACATCCTTTTTGGTAGGAGTTGAGGCAAAAATTGCTTTTAGCAACTGTATCTGTGGTTTTTGATCATTGCTAAGCTGACCCTGCAGAAATTTATTACAGTTTAAGCAGTACGTCTAAGAAGGTGATTGCCTGTTCTTTGAAATGGTGGAAGAGAGGTGATAAATCCAAATGCATAAAAGCTGGTGGGATGGATTGTGAAGAGCCGGTTTTTTTGTTGCTAGTATTTTGTAGCTGCCTCCTTCACTGCAGTGTATATTTTATAATAGCAGGCAAGGAAATTCCAAATTCTATATTAATGCACAAAATTAATTTATAGATATTTGAAGTACTCATTGGATTCCTTAATGTCTCAGTGTAAGAAGCTGTACTAAAATTGTGTCCAATGAATTACAATACTGAGGTGTTTAAAAGTGGAAGGATGCCAGAAAAGCATCATAAGCCTGATCCTGCTTTTACTTAGATACATTAATGCTACTTTACAAAAATGTGAAGTAAATAGCAGGTCCTTATGCTAATGTAGCATATTAGGTCAAGCTAGGTGGCTTTTTTTATTATTATTATTTTTACTAGTAAATGAGATTTGGCTGTTACAGCTTTGTCAAGCTTGCTGTGTGCATTTCAAACAAAGTACCACAGGCCAGACCTTGAATTCACTACACACAGAAAACACCCACTACAGTCAGGAGGAGAACCACTCTAAATTTTGGCTGTGACTGACCAACTGTCTAATCCTTAAAACCCTTATCCACTCAGATAGTGCCTTCTCATAGAAGGCAGCTTGTTGTTTTCAGATGGGCTGCTTAAGGTAAGCTGAAGGCCTGTGAAATCCGTGACTAGGCTACAAGCACACCTGTCAATTACTTATTTTTAAAATCCCTTTTACCTTTCTGTGAAGTTGCTGCTACTGTGAATCGTACAAGTTTGTCCAGTCATGAAGAAGCAGGAATTGGTGATTTAGCATGACCTCTCAAATCAGCAGGGGAACCCCAATGTTCCAAGAAAGCTAACATGAGACAGAGAAATTAAGACATCTCCTCCCCACAAGAGGAGTTTCATCAGCCAGTCGGTTATTTCTGCGTCATTGGCTAGGATGCTCAGCCCTTGGAAAGGAAAAATAAAGTTGCTGCCATTGTCCTGCCCAGCAGGTCATATCCCTAAAGCACAATTAATGTCAAGGACTTACGCAGCAGTTGTCCAAAACTCAGCCTTCCATGCACGTTCAAGATGCAAAAAGGTTCAAAAGGAACATGTTAATAAAATCTTGTCCAAACTTTGGAAGACGCATGAAATAATAACTAGGAAGAAAAATGGCTTGCAGATAGAACCATTTAAGTGGAATGTATCTCCTTGCTATGCTGGACACTGATTTATTAAGAAGAGGGGGGAGAAAAAAATTGAACATTTCAGGTGGTATTTACCAAAAGAAACTGAGCTGTCCCAAAGCTTTTATTAATCTGATTTGCAGAGTATCCGCTGTTATCAAGGGACCTACTAAAGTTGTTTTCTTTAAAGCTGATGTGAAGAGGTCAATGCAAATAGCATTGTGGATTACACTGGGAGAAGGTGGCAGTTCCTTTTAGCATATGGAGAGAGAGTTGAATTATTTTGTTTTCCTTTTCTGATTATTTATTAAATGAGGAGCATGCCATACAGGTATTGCCCTCTTCTTTTCCAAAGGAAATGAAGTGTTTACATCATTTTGATGGATCTAAAGCAATAACTACTTTGTCCACCAACAATTCCGAGGCAGTACAGTAGTCTAGTGGCCAGAGCAGTGGTTTACACATCAGCAGACTGAAATTCTTTGTTACTGAAAGGTACCTGCCGTGATACCTCAGACAAGTCACATGTGTTGTTCTGTGCCTTTTTTCCCATCTGCTTTCCTGCCGATTGAGCCAGCTAGCCTTCTGTGATGGTACTCATCCATCATTCTCTCTTTGTGGGAGGGGACTCTGAAAGGCATTGCTTTGGGAAGTAAACAGGCTCCCCTGAAATGCAAAAATGCTGATAATCTCATGAGGTTGTGCTTCAGAACCAGTTGTGATTTTTGTCACTGTGCAAATAATTTTCTGAAGGAGAAATACTAATGGGTGCCTCACTTTTCTATCAGTGTTTCTCTGTTCCTGTGTCGAAAAGATTTGTATTTCTGTGTTACTGTATCAAAAGAGAAATTTTCTACTAGAGGGCTTTGCTGTGTGATATTCAGTACATCCTTAGCAGGAAAAACAGAAGAATTTGGTCAGATACACTATTGACTATTCTTTGTTACATATTTTATTACTTATTCTTAATTAATATCTCAATTTAGCCAAAACAAACATGACAGAAGTAAGCGTGAAAAGAAACCCTATTTTCTGATGGTGTCAAAGTGTTTGGGATTTTTCTATGACAGTCAAGAGCACTTTGGATGGAAGGATTATAATAATTTGTTCTCTTCCCCTTGACTTTGTCAATACACGTAATGTTTTAAGTGAATCCATACTCCTGTGTGCTAGACCAAGCCTGTGTTCAAAAGTAAACATTTTAAAGTCTGTCCTACAGAAACCCCTGCTGTAAACAAAAATGAAAGTCAAGTATAGGATTGTTTTCCATAATAAGAAATGATTTAACTCTTTTCAGAGTTGCACTGAACTGGTTAATAGCCATCACATTAGGAAAGTGCTAATTTCCCTAGCTTGGTGTGTGTGTAGTTATCTCCAAATCAAAAATGCAGTAATATAATATCATGTACCAAAGAGACCACTTACATATGCACTGAATCTGGCTTTGTTTGTCTTTCCACAGGCTATGTGGCTGATGTTGCAAACAGATGAGCCAGAAGACTTTGTCATAGCCACTGGGGAGGTCCATAGCGTCCGTGAATTTGTGGAGAAGTCATTTAGGCACATTGGGAAAACCATTGTGTAAGTATGAACATGAGATAATAGCCACAGGTTGAACATTTATAACCTGCAATGATTGCCGTGTTACAGAGCATTGTTTCTCTACATCCTTTTTTTTTACTCTTTGCTTTATAATTTTGTAACATGTGGCCTTCTGGGCATAAATGACTGCCGCAGGGGGTAAGTCCGCTGCTGTTCTCCACACTATAAGAAAAAAAAAAAGTAGGAGGGTAGATCTTAGGTTTTGCTTCCAAGTCTTCTCTGTTCTCTCATTCGCTCCCTGTCTTGGGGGACAGAAGCCGCTTCAAAAATATTAGTACTAGGCTGCTGTTTATCAGCCTGCTGCCCTAATCTCTGTCTTACTGGTCCCCAAATCCAGGATATCCCCTCAGTTTCCCTCCTATCCTTTGCTACCCAAAGAGATGACACCTGCCACTCCTGTTCTTTTCCACATGACAGCCCATCATCCACACCACAAGGACTATGTGGCAACTCACTCTACATTCCTATTAGCTCTTGTCCTACCAAGCCATAAAAATGTTGACCAGTGGGTGCAGAATGTTTACAATGCATATTCCACATAGTTTGATTGAAAATACAAAATTCCTTCTCAAGGCCATATAATAAAACCAGGATGGCTTGGTGAGCGCTTTCCGTAATTTATATTTTTATTGTTTATTATTTTTTCAATTTCCCTCCTTCTGTATCTTCTCTGGGCCCCATGCATCAACATACCAATCTCAGCTGGAAAAGGGAGAGGAAAGCCACAGGCTCTTCCATGACGCTAGCGCCAGGGCTGTTCCTCAGGCCATCAAAGTCACTTGTGCAGCTGGTGAACTTTTGACAAGACCAATAAGTTTTACTTGGGAACAAAAACTTGACAAATTCAATAAATATGCAGAAGTGCAGAGATATATACAATATTATTTGAACAGTCAGTGGGTGACTGAGGAGGTAATAACATTTTCTCCTCAATGAGTTTTTAGTCTGGTTTCAATTTTTGGCATCAACATTCAGAAAAAAAAATCTGATAGAGGGAGGGAGAGACTGTTTAAAGAGAATTTCTAGCCCAAAAGCTCCATTCTGGGAATATGTTTCCCTCCATATTTTTAGCATCTCTTGACACTGAGATGTCCCTGTTTGATCACACATTGCTCAGTATGCCTTAACAGCAGTGAGAGTTGACAGGGTAAAGGGGCAGGGGGTAGTGGGAGCTATATTAATCTGAGATGAAATGAATAAAGACTCTGTTACAATGATGGCAAAACAGAATTACATGTTGTAGAGGTGCTTGTTCCATACAAGTGAGAATTCTTCTCATATTGAGAACTTTTTTTGCCCCACCCAGTGTTACTTTTCAAAAGGAAAAATGAATATTTGGTGAACAACTTTTTTTTTAAATTTGGTTACCTAAAATTAGAAATTGACATGTGTAGGTCAGTACCTACACAAATGTTGTGATGTGCAGATGTTCCCATCATTCATAGTTTCATTTGATGTCAGTAAATTTATCCACTAGTTTAGAATTAAGCTTCTTTCTTTGTTATTAGCCTAAGAAGTCTCCATTTCCCAAGACTGATAAATAAGCGTGTATTGTCCAGAAAGCAAAATTAACCCTCTAGAAAACCAAAAGCAAAGAACAAGGATTACTCAAAAGCATGTGAAAGTACTTTTAGGAAGAGCTTCTGTTATATAGAAGATATTAAAGACTTATTTTAGATTTAATTGGTCCTAATACACAGGATTTTGTGTCACATATGACAGAATGGTTTCATATAATGGACTGCACATCATTCAGGTTGGTGATTATTGCGTTCCCTGTTTAGATTAAGTCACTGAATTATAGGTTTCACTCCTGGGAAATTCTAACAGTATTACTTCAACTGATAAAATAGGGCAGCTATTTTATGTGCACAAAGGCATATTTACCTTTCTAATTAATCAATCAAAGTAATTTTCAAAAAAGATATAATAGTCTATATCACTGCCATGGATTTTTAGCAGCTTAAGTGTCTAAATCACTTTTAGAAACAGGGTTTGGGTTGCTAATCTCCTTGGTTCTTTTGAAATATTTTTTCACTGTATATGATATATTAACTACATCCTTAAGCCAATCATGAGTAATATGTAAATACCTGTGCATATGGGTACTGAGGTGACATTTTAGGTGCTAGTGACAATTTTGTTGCTGATCATTTTGAGAGGAATGCAATTCTGATCATTTTAGAAATAATCCAGCCAAATTCCTTCTCCCTGCTCTGTGGGTGGGGTTAGCATAAAAACTGATCCTCTGCTCATCCTGGAGCCATCACTCATCTTTCAAAGTGCGTGAGATTTAGAATTCTGGGGGGGATCGAGAAAGGTGTGTTAAGAATCCCCATAACTTTTCTAGATGTCAGCCCAGCCTGTGCTTTTCCAGAACAGACACAAAGACACATGCACACACACACACAAACGCACGCACACACACACACGCACACACACGCACACACACGCACACACGCACACTCTCTACCCTTGCTGTCTTCTTGGCCGGATGGCTGGTAACCTCTCACATTCTTTGAAACCCCCAGGGCTTTCTACTCCCACCTCCTTCAGTTTGAATATATCTTCTTCAGGGAGTAGCCTGGCAGTAAAATCCTCCCCTTTAGTGTTGTGGGACCCGGCTGGTGAGTCCCATTGATCTGCTGCTTGGAAATTTATGAGGCACCTAGTGATCCATTCTGATGCAATGATTTTTAAATGGGATCTTGCAAGGAAGGCTGTTTTCTTTCTCTCTCCCTGAAAGCTTGGTTGCTTTTTTTTCCCCAGGTATTATGAAATTTCACAGTCCCAAAAGCTTATCTGGGAAATGTCCAGGTGCCCTTCCTGCTGCTGTAAGTGGCAGCACAGCTTCCCCATACTGCTGTGCAGTGCACCATTCAAAATCAGTGGAAGGGCAGAGGAGATGGCCAGAAGGGGATGTGGAGGGAACTGAAAGGGCTCGTAGCACACCTGAGAACGCAGGGCAAGCGTGCAGCAGTGCTTCACCATCCCCAGTTTGTGCTTTGGCAGGGAAAATTGCAAAGGGAACAAAATCTCAGCCTTCACATCTTGATATTGCAGTAGAGAACAGGCAGAAAAGCAATTCTGGCTACCTCACAACAAACTACAAGTATAATTTTTAACAGTTTTTTGTCTTCATAACACATGCCGTTAACTGTACAACTAAACCTAAATGGTCTTTCCAAAAAAATAACATACTACTCTGTTATAGCCAGTCATTACCACATGTTGGGAGTATATTTTCTAGCCAAAATATGAGAGACAAACTTTAATATGCTTTTGTAAATAATGACACGTACAGCTGCAGTAAGACTGATGTATTCTTTCTCTGAAATTGTCTGTAAAGTGTACACAGGAGTTTATCTATATTGTATTTTTTTCATTTAACCCTTTTATTTGCAAGGGAGAAATTTGAAATTAAATATATAATCCTCTGAATCATTCAAATTCAGTCCTTTGTACTAACAGGAAAGCCTCTGAGCTACAAATATTTTCCCCCTGTAAGTATTACACTTTTTTTTCTTTTGCTTTCCCTTCTACTTACTACTAATTAAGTAATACTTGGGGGAAACACTTCCCGCCTATAATTTGAACTACAGCAGGGTAAACGAAACAGGCAAACGCTTGTCTTGACTAATTTTCTGGCATTAATCTTATTAAATTAGAACAGGATTGCAAAGATAGCCTGAAACCACTACAGCATTCAGAGTTCTTTTGCAGACTGCTACAAAGACTGCTGTCTGCAAATGGGGGAAAAATAAAACAAGAAAAAAAAACTGTTCCAGCAGTGGAAAGATTTATTGTATTTTTTATTAATATAAAAATATGTGCACGTTTGTTACAGAAATATTCATTGCTTCTAGGATTAAAATTAATTCAGGAAAAATGAATATTTTACTCCGGTCTCTACAGTGCAAATTTTACTGTAACTAACATACCAGTTGGTCTGAAAAAGATCACCCTAAAAAGGAGAAGTTTTCAGATCAACTGTGAGGTCTAATGAGATGAGCTACTGGCAGAACTGGAGCAGTTGCCTCTGCAGTGACATGGAAAGTTGAGCTGAGATTGAACTGAGAGAGAAGGGTTCTTTTATTTTGCTTTATGTTGTCTTTCTACTTTAAAATGGAAGGTTACGATACAGAAACACACAGGAGTTGTGAAGGATTGCTATAAACACAAAGCCAATGAGACATTGATGATAGTGGTGTGAGGAAGGAGACGAAGAGCCATCCAGAGTCTTCACCAGCAGCCTCTGGTTTCAGGTCTGGCTGCTGCCCACAGGAAACTGCTGCCTGGCCAGGGACTGTCTGTGGTGCTTAACAGTGCGGGAAAATCACAAGCTTGCAGATCACGAGGAAGGGAACAGAACCTCATACATAAATTAGAGACATTTTAAAGAGTGATAGTTGGAAAGAACCCGGCTGCATCAGTGGAGAAGCTTCCTTGGGTGAACCCACACAAGCAGCAGTGCTCACTTAGGACTGCACCGCTTTTATTCTTGTTCTCACTGTAGAGTACACCTTTGGGGAGGCATTTAACCCACCTCAGCTAGAGGATTAACTCTTCAAGCTGAACAGACTGTTTTACTTTCTTGTTGATATGAGTTTTTAATCTGTTGGCAGACCTAATAGCAGTTTCAGAACTCACAGTAAGGTTTGAAGGCTGTAACAATTTAATTATCTGATTCCATACATTGTAAGAGGTGTGAGAGTTTCCTCTATAGGAAGGCTGAGTGAGAACTACATGTGATGTTTTGTGGGAAATTCCACAGTTTTTTCCCAAGATGGCATGAAAAAATTCTCACAAATGCATTTGAAAAAATATTTTATTTCAAGTCAGTTAGAATGTTTTGTTTCTTTTTTAACATCCTTTAAAAACAAGACTTTAAAAGAATTGTAAAAGCCATTCAGAAAAAAAAATCTTTTCATTCTGAAAATGTCAAAGCATCTTTTTAGATATTATTAATTTTTTTGAGTTGACAGTAATGAAACTTATTTGAAACTGAAAATTTTCTTTCAGAATATTTTCATCTTCACAGAAGCATTATTATTCTTTGGCAAAATGTATTCTTCTGAACAAAACCCTCTTAAAAGGAAACATTATCACCAACTCTCACAGTTTAAAATAAGGCAGAGAGAAGAGCTTGAAAAGGTTCCCAATGGATGGAAAAAAAAGAAACTAGAAAAAGAGGGGGACCTAGTACGGAATCTTTCTTTTAACATGGGGAGTCACAATTTAGATTTTTGAAACCTGTGCTTTGCAATGCTGGGAGTTTAATGCCAACAACCTTAAATGATTTAATCACATTCCTTCAGTGAATGAACACTGAAGACCTGACTCTGCATGGTAGCATGGTAGCGTACTTATACCTTAGGTTTAAGCACAGGACAGCAGTTAAACAACACCTACATCCTTGGATGCTTTGTTGAATCAGAGTTTGAGTTGGTAGCCAAGGAACATATGAAGAGTCATATTTAAAATTTCCCTGTGAGAGATTGCTTGCAGCAGACGTCAATGATCTCTTGTACGGCATCAGTTTTGCTGTTTATAAAGCATCAGAACAAATGCAGTGCTTTGGCTAATTGTATATGTAAATGACAATTAGTTAAGCCACGAATCAGAAAAGCCCACACAAATGGTGTCTTCTATCAGCTATTAAAGATAAGAAAAATTTTCCTAAAATTTTAAAGTAAATTATTGTTGGTTTTCGAATGTGAAAAGTTTTTCCATTGGCATGTATTTGATTTGAAAGGTGTATATGATAGTTTTATTTCCCATGAGGAGGTTGGGGGCTTTAGCTGCTGGTGGTTTTTTTAATATTTTGTAAAACGGCATCAGTTCTGCCTCCAGGTAAAGATGAAGTGAGGAGACAAAATGAATATGCTTGTTCAGTTTATCTGTGCTTTTGTGAAAGGTTTTATTTTTAGTTGATTTCTTAGTGACTTCAAAAATATATGCGCTTTGCCTTGTTTGCTACTCAGTTAAAGCCATTTGGATCATTTGTTCCCCCCCACCCATGAGCTGCCCAGCTCCCCTGTGCCATTCCCTGCCCACCTCACACCCTACTGGGTGCCCCAGCTCCTCACCATCAGAAAATCCTCTATACTTGTGGATGTTGTTATAGCTTGAAGCTTACCATCTTAGAGAATGGCTATAGGAAAGGCAAGAGAATTGGAAGTTTCAGAGTCAAAGAGGAAAAGGAGTGTTCACTGTGGCTGATAATCAGTGCGACTTGCAGGGTCCTTGCAGACATGAAATTAGCCTTATAAATTAAAGGCAGCCCGTTCCTCTGGAAACGCAAAAAGTTTGTGAAGTGAAGAATCTTTTAAACAATTAAACAGCAACACATGCTTTTGAAATGTGATCAACTTGTTAGTTTTATGAAAGCTTCTGAGGTTGGTGGTGGTTGTGGTATCCATCACACTATTGCCTTAGGTATTCACAAAGCTCCTATCTCCAATACCAAGGTACCCTGTGAGACAGCATGGATGCAGAGGGCATCAAGCCTGGTTTCTCAGTAGTAGACAGCCCCGTCTTGTGCATCTTTAGATCTCTGAGTGCAGAGCCTTCTGCAGTGTGGCCAATGCCATCAGTGTTGAGAGCAAACCCGTCACTGCAGCAGGTGTCCTGTGCTTGAAAACCCTAGGATCTGACACTAGCAGTATGTGAGGGGCAGGATTCACTGCTCATCCTGTTTGAATTTAGCCCAGCCCTGATTAGCCAGAGTTATTTTAGCAGAGGTTCAGGCTTTTTCCCTCCAAGTTACATTAGGTTATTTTCTTGCCTATTTGGGCATCAGCCGTAAGGAGCAGAAAGCTGAGTAGCCCTCCTGGGTGGAGCTATCTGAAACCACAACACTGTGAGGACTCCCAATGTCTCTTCCACCATGCTAATGCTTCAGGATAATTTGGCATCACATTTTCCAATTAACAATTCTGACTGAAAGTTGCTTGTAAATACGTTTCTTTGTTTTTCTTCTTCCTTTTTTCCTTGTGGTTAAAAGACAAAGGAAGGAGGAGTTGGTTAGATAAATGGATGTCTAGTTCCTGGTGCCTGGTTGGCCCCAATGCAGTCCCTTTTATCAGCAGTATGGTGTCCCCAGCTGTGAGTGCAGAGGTGGCAGGAGTAATTAAAAGTGCTGCTATCAAGTGCGTCTCCCACTTTGTTCACAATGAGAAGTACTTTTTTTCTTGTGAACTTTTCACATTACTGGGCTGAACAAAATGGGTGGAGTTTTCTTAAGTTATTTCTATTGTTATATAACTTTGATAGCGACATTAAGTGAGTCTTTACTGGCTCTGTCAAGCTTTCTGGAGACTGTTGGGTGTTAAATGGGGTTCTCTGCTCAGTGACCTCCAGCAACAACTGACGTCTCCTGATCTAAGCACTTCCTGTTGTTTTACTGGTGACGGTTAGTTTTCTATTAAGCTCATTTGAGTCCTGCACATTTTTACCCTCTGCCCTTTAAAGGGAGGGACTAATGTTAGTTTTGGCTTCTGAGAGAAAACTTTACAGTGGAGGCTTCACACAGAAAAACTGCAAAGAAGAAAGAAAAGTTAATATATTAATCATCTTTAGCATCATGGCATTCCTTATTTACAGCTGACTTCCATGTAGCTATTACCTGCTGGAAATTATTTCAATGTAAAATGTTCGCAGTATCAAGCATCGTACAGACTTTGCTAGTCACCAAAACTCATGAGTTTTGCTTAAAAAATCATGGCATTTGAAAACTAGTGGTAATGTGTATTTGGTATTTCCTTCTGCCTTTCAGTGTTTTAACCTTCAGGGGGACACAGAGGTCACATTTTCAGACTTTCCTCTGTAGCCCTCAGGGCTAGAAACTCAAAAATGAAGGCTGAGATTGTCGGTGGGGAAGGAAGAAAAAAATCAAATACGTGACAAAATCCCTAGAACAGGCAACACTGAAAATATGCCAGTACGATTAGTAAGTGGGAAGCAAAGGGCACTTTTCTTTTATTGCTGATGACTGAAGCAAACTAGTCTAAATCACAGCGCTGATTTAAAATAGATAGATTTTACTTAAACTTAAAAAAGCAGAGAATTTCATCACTACACTTTTGTGCCAAGCTATTTCAGAGCTTCTTGGTAAACTTAGAGGCAAAAAGTAAGAAGGGAGTAGAGTTTCAATCATAACTCTGGATTTTATATATTTAATGAATTAGATTTTTTATATCTGCTGAAACATTTGTTTTGAGAAGGGTTATTGTCCTCAACGCTGACATCTGACCATTTTAAAGCTGGAGACAGTGACCTATGAAGCCCTTTCTGTTTTGTTTCGACCCAAAATTTTAGACCAGGACAGTTGCTAACAAAATAGTTCATGGTACAATCAGATCACACAAATTACAGCAAATTGCAAACTGTTCAACACATATGTAACCAATTTAGGCAAAGTAGCTGACTTTAAGTTCACAGGTAGTACGTATCATTTACGGTACATGTATGTGAAATGCTATGTTGAGCTAGGGCTAAAAACTCCAGAACTGTTTTTGTTTTGTTTTCTCTAGTTAAGCACAAATTAGATTATGCAGCTTAATGCTATTCAAACAGAGCTTCACTTCCATAAAATTAACAGATTAAAGAGTTCCTGAAAGTACTGGCCAAAATACAAGAATTAAAAGTATTTTTAAGAACAATTTTAAACAACTTTGAACCAATCCACAAATGAAAAACCTCATTTTCCTATTTATTTGAAGATACATGAAACATTCTGAAATCAGGAGGTTCTATTTTCCCCTAGCATTATGTGTTTAATTTGGAAGTCCTATGTTCTAGACCTTCCACTGAATCAAAAACCAAAACAAAGAGACTTCAAAAGCCATTGTTGCTCCATTCAAGTCTAAACTCTGCCTTTGTTCCTATAGCTAATGAGTTTATACTGTCCTGCAGGGAGAATTGACACCAGCCTCAAGTAAATGAAAGCAGGCCAAATGTTGGTAAGATCAGAGCACTAAAGTAATTATGGGTTGATTAAATGTTTATCTTCTTTACAGGTGGGAAGGGAAGAATGAAAATGAAGTAGGACGGTGCAAGGAGACTGGCAAGATTCATGTGACAGTCAATCACAAATACTACAGGCCAACTGAAGTGGTAAGAAAATGCCCTCTCTTAGCTTTGCAAAGGAATAATCCAATCACTCAGCCAATAAATTGCTGCATTTGGCCAGCAGTCTGTGAAAATGGCTTAATGGCTCTCCTGTTGCCAGCTTTTAGAACTCTAAATTAGCCTGCTTGTTGGCCCCCTTGCAATCAGCTACCCGAAAACACCCTTATCAGCAACATATCAGGAGAAACAGATTTGCTCTGTCACTGAGACGATTTTTCTGCTTTGGTCACTGTCTTTGGGTGGGTAAGGGATGTGAAACATCATCCCAGGGGAAACGAAACAGAATTCAGGTCAGCTTGTTGTTCCTTTTGGTATCAAATTAATGTGTGATCGTTTCTGCTCCAACTGTGAGAAGGGAAGCGAAGGAAGGTGTGCACTGTAATATACTTACTTTTTAAAATAACTCCTTCCATGTCTGAGTGAAAGTGTTCCGACTCCACCCAGTGAGCATCCCCTGCTCAGCTTAGATCTTTGTAACTCTTGGTATCACAAAATACCCCTTTTAAAAGGTCAGGAGTGTGCTTGTGTGCTGTTTTGTCAGTTGTTTTTCAGGGTCCCACTTAGTAAATGCTCATTCACACGAGGAATCTCAACTGCCAGTGAAGCCTGTCGGAGGTATTGAACTAGCACAAACTGCCAGTCAAACCAGGCCACTAATGCTCAGATTGACTGAGCTGGTTAGAAGAGAAAAAAATCCTACCTACAACTTAGGCAGGATAGTGGCAACACACAGAGTGGGTACAGGATAGAGCCTGGCTTCTGAACCCAGAGAACAATAGTCCTAATTGTGCTAGCTGAGGGCGGGTGTGCCCAAGAGAGGATGTTCTCGTCTCCTGGCGAGGGTGATACCAGCGCCGCTGGCTGCTGACACAGCATCAGCTGTCAGTCTGGGCATTCAGAAGTGCTGCCTTCAACTTCCTGCTACAAGCAAGGTGTGACAAGAGCACATTTGTCTTGACATAGACTGCAGGGTGGGAGTGGGGAGCTGCGTGTGTATAAATTGAGCATCAGTTCTAAAGAGGACATTCAGAGGGGAATAGAGGCTTTCATGTTATGCAATTATTTAAGAGGGCTGGGCCTGAGTATCAAAATCAAACACTAGGAAGTCATTAAGGGCTGTCTGTCATTCTGTGCTTTGGTAAGGTGTCAGAATGATAAGGAGGACACAGAGACAAAAGGACTTGCCAAACAGGAAAAGGACACTTGACCCAACAAGTCTGTGCTTTATGAGACCCATTTTCCTGCTTTGTCATACTTCTTACTCACAAGTACCTATTTACTCTTCAAAATTCACTGGTAGTACATAGCTGTTCTGAAGCCCTCCACTTCATTCGTGTGCTCGTTTTCTGCTGAAGTAGTTTTGGCCATCACCTTCCCTCTGTCCTTACTGGTCCCCTTTTTGGAACACAGTTTCTGGATTTTAAATTCAGCTCACTATATGCTTGTCCCTTTTGGGACAGTGCATAAGCGTAGGTTTTTCAGGAACACTCAAGCAATTGCTAATTGGTCAGTATGTGAGTACAGGGAGGTATCAGAATATGGAGTGGAACGTGCCTTGAAAAGGGCACAGAGATATGAAAATCCAGCCTTACTGATTTACCACAAATCCTCTCTTGAGCAAAGCTCCCTCCCACCTTCTCCAACTGCATCAGAAAAACAAGAACACTTTCATGTTTTTGCAAACATTACCTTTGCCCCCGTCTAAAAATAGTTTAAATGTCGTAGCTATGTTGCATCCTCTGGTAGTCAACTTCTCCGTAGCTGGAACTGGATACACTTTTTCAGGTGAGTGTCTACAAGGTTCACACACACATACACACACACACTCCCATAAAAAGTTAATAAATAGGGTTGTATATAAACTCAGTAGAGATTTGGTGTTTATCTGAAATTGTCTGGTCTGTTGTAGGCCACCTATTCTTTCCTTGGGCTCTATCTCTCTCTTCCCCTGACCCCATCTTTTCTTGCCTTTAACAAGCTCCCTGCTCTGTTATTGTGGAACCCGAGAAGGCTGTGAAGCTGCTCTAGTAAGTCAGGGGCAGAAGCACAGACTGGGTTTTGAGGTGCCTTTGTCTTAACGAACATTCAGATGAACTGTTAGCAAACTCCTATATCAACAGTGACGTGGCAGAACGTATTAGATGTTGCCATTAACTTGTTGGAAGATACAGAAGAGGTGGTATTTTCCCTCAGTCTATGAAAGGGCAAACACTGGTCTATCTTTACATGGTTTCATTCTAAGCTGGTTTCACCTGTCCTAATTTACAGTGTTTTATTTAACTTTCTGAATTGACGCTACACACTGTCATACCCACATATTCAGAAACAGCAAGACGTGTATGTCCATGTGGTATAGGCAAGAATATTCATATGTGGCATGAGGAACAGGAACACCAACTATCAAATCCCCATTATGTCTTCTGAATTGCTCTTGACTGACAGCACTGCACTGTTTTTTGGACAGTTATTTATATTTTTATACTGACTGTATTTCTTGCATAGTGCTGTCAGCCTGACACTGAATTGAGATTTCTTTTGAGATTTTTCCCCAGTGGGAATTAGTAAAGACACTCAATCTGATTTCAACTTTCATTTCCCCTGCTTGATGCAAACAAAGATCTGAGCTAAATTCTCATGTATGCAGGACTTCTCAAAGCCAATAAGATTTCGAATCGAATAGGTCTTGAGTCTGTTACATCTGTATGGATAAAAAGGGGATGGCATGATTCTAGGGTTTGCAATCAGCTTAGCATCCACCTGCTGGAACTAAATCCCTTTCTAGGGCATCTCAGAATGACTTTCGTATTTTTGAATTAGGAATTTACTTTTATTCCTTATCAAAGGAAAATAAACTTCTATCTCTTTCAGTCAGGGAATCACATCTATGGAATTCAAAAATGCTGAACCAAAATCTAATCCATTGCCAAAAAACATGGAAATGTAATGAGAGTACCGAAATGGAGTAATTGCACGTGTCCCCTCTCCACCCTCAACAAGATCACTGAAGGCAAAAAAGCCTCAGGTTGACATTTTTGAAGGAGGCTTAGCCACATCATTTAACAGGAATTCTGCAGATGAATCCTAGATGGCATAGCAAATCCAGTGCTCAGATTCTCATGTCTTATTTGGAAACATTTCTGTCTGCCTGTCTCTCTAAAATTTAACTCGATATTCTGGAGAGTGAAAATAAATATCATTTAATCTTGTATGCAATCAGTTCAGACAGTGCCAATAGATTCATTTGAAAACACATTTGTTTCCTTCAGCTAGTGATCCCTAGGGTCAAGGCCTCCCATTGAAAAGCTTAGCTGTACTGAAGAAGAAACCTTGAAATGTGAGACTGTCTTCTGGTCAAACTAAGGAGACCCTTTGAATGCCTTGACTCTAAATCTCTTCACTCTGCTTTTGACTGCTTTGGGGCCCCCTGATATTTACTGGCCTTGGGAATTATTCCTGCTAATGCTTCTAATGCCTGTCTCTCCCTCCTTGAATCTTGCTAACTGCAACCTTTATTGATATCATTTCTTTTGGCTTGCATCATATTCCTGTCACTATCCTTTCTGACCCTTTTTTAAACTGTATTTGGAGACTGTAATTGAATGGCTGCAAGGACTGGAGAAAGAGGATTACTTTTGCTTTTCTTAAAATCAGCACTTTTCAAAGGAGCTTCATCACAAACTTGCTTTTTATACTGAACTTGATACAGTATGAAAGATCCTTTCACACCTTTTGCAGACATTTTTAGCACGCGTCAAGTAAGGGCATAATTTCCATCCATTTGTTGCTCTGGACATGTAAAGATAAGTTTCACGACGGCTTAGTCACTGTAAAATGTAGATCCTTCCAAATATAGTCTCACTAGCCTTTTCTATTTTTGCTACAATCAGATTTTTCAAATTGCAGGCAGGTAACTTAGTCCATACCTGCGTTTAAACAATCCACTTGGATTTCACAAAAATAATATTAAGATTAATTTTAAAATTAAATTACAATTTTGAAACTAAATTAAATGAGACATTTCATTCAGTTGGAAACAAACCACCCTGCAGCACAGGATGTAGTAAGAATCAGGTCTCTCAACCCCTGAAGTGGAGTGTTTGTTAGAAAGTTTTGGCCTGTCTTAAATTTTCTTATCTTTCAGCAAGATAATTAATTTGCTTTCCTCTCCTCCATCTCTTCTACATATATTAGAAAAAAAGAATGATTCCAAAATGAACAGCATGGCAATGATAGCTGAAGAAATCAAATGAGATGATCAAGCAGAAATTTCCCTCCAAGAATAATACAGTCATTAGTTTTAACCAAATTATGCCTCTTGAGGTGTTTCAGTAAAATTGCTTATAGTATTTTTGCACAGCAGATATTAAGCTCACAGTTCTGTAGGTGCTTGCTTCATTTCACTGCTCTTTCCTGCAACAATGAAGGTTAACTGCAAGTCTCACTGATCTGATCTGTCATCAGAGAACTTAACGAGAGAGATGTATGTAAGGAGCTTAATAAATTCTATATTATTTTTTAAAGGAAAAAAAAGAAATCTTTGAACTATATAGGTTTTTTTTTTTCCCTGACTCTAATGTTCAGTGTTTGTTACAGGGAATTCTTCCCCGTCTCTCCCACCTGTTTCTGTGGGTGTTCTACAGCTTGCTTAGAGTAGGAACCGTAGGTTGCCTTAGTGCGTTGCCTTAGTGCATCATATATGTTATGGGCTGGCATGGATGTATCTACGAGGATGAACATAGAGCAGTGCAAATTTCCTTCTTTTAAGCAGGCCCTAGAACCTCTGTCACAGTGAGAAAATGTCATACTAATATTTAAGCAGTTGCCTAGCCTCTTATTATTCTTCAAAGAAAAAAAAGTATGTTAACCTCTTCCCTTTGTTATATGCTTTAAGCAGTTAAGCGTTTTTCTCCCAGTCCTTTCTAGCAAGGATATAAACGAAACCCCATATACTGGTTAGCAGAAACCTTCGTGACAGCACAGTGTCC